ACGCGATAAAACTGAGCGTACGAAACGCGCCGCGATATTGCGAATTATACCGTGTATAATTCAACAAAGAAAGGGAACGCATGGAACGCCTGCTGCACTCTTGACCTTTCCGAAGTCTTGTGCAAGCGAGGCTCCACTAAGTCTCGACAGATTTCCAAGAGGCTGCGAACAATTCGACTCGCAACAAAGAGGAGAGCTAAATATGTCGGGATGCAGTTGTTACATCTTCATCGACTATCGTTGAGAATGACTATGTGTCCCGCGTGTAACTCAATTTAAAGTTAGGCGCCTGTGGAATTCAACATTTCTATAAAGACAATTAAGTCGATCATATTTCTATAATTATATAATTTTTAATGTAGTCATTTGTCATTTGACTAGTGTTAGAAAGGAAAGCCTAGTTCTATTTATATATAGTGAATTAATCATTAAGCTCCTTTTGTTAGGTTGAAAATCCACAGAAATAAATATTATAAACGTTATACTTTAAATATTGAATATATTTTTCCATATTATTCACATTGTGTGCATTTTTGTATCTTCAAATGCACAAAAATCTGCTGAATTGTTGATATTTAATTTTTTTTCCTGATCACATCTTGCATTAAGTCTTTGGAGCAATAACACGAAGACGAATACGACGAATATAATAAATGAAGAACGAAAAAAATATTGTACGCTTACACGCCATAAATATATTTGTCTTTAACGAGTATCGCACGTATGCGAAATAGCCAGGTTGATTGTTTCCTGATCTTTTTCCTATAACAATCTCAATTGAAATTTTCCATTGAAAAGTGAATTTTGTTTCATCGCGGTGCTTTCGTTCACGATCACGCATTATTTCTCGACATTGAACGCGAATGAAAGTGCTCTTGATATGAGACGCGTCTTATAACGCGTTAAGGCAGGTCTTGAAAACAGGTCTCCCCGATCTCTTTCTCTCTCTCTGTTTTCTTTCTTTTCTCCGCATCTTTTCGTTCGCACTGTGTTTCGTTCGACACGTTTAAACTTCAATCGATAGGTTCGAACTCTAAACTAAAGTGATCCAGCTTTGCTTTGGATCGATTTATTGCTTAGTAAAGAAAAAAAAAAAAAAAAAAAAAAAGAAGGAAACGAAAGAAGATTCACCACGCGAATTATACGTACTACAACATTTAAATTTCGCAAAATATCTGCTACATTGTACTTAATTTCAATGCATCTAGCAAGTCATTCCCTGATAAAATTTATTCCTAAAAAATTTAGTAACTATAATCTAAACTCTAAAATATTTATCGTAAATCCCTATCTTTATTCTAAGTTCCACTTTCACACAATACACACACAAATCCCTATCCTAGTAATAACTAATTTAATGAAAAATTAATCATTCATACACAATAGACAATACAATGCCACTATTGAAGAGGAGATTATGGCTATTGAAAGGTGTACCTATTAGCGAAACAATCTGGACCGATTCGATCGGAGAAGCACGAAGGAACAATCGGAAGGCGAGGGAGAATAATCTGTAGAACATAAAGGACGCACGTGCGTTCGTTGCATGATCGCATTGCACGGAGTATCGCGGCCCTATTCTCTCGAGCAAAAGTAGCTCGCGTGATTCGCGCGACGCGAACACAATTCCCTGGTAATTACCTCTAATTGCGTCGCTCCGCGATAAACTTCCCTATGATAATCGTTTGTTTTTGCTGTTGTTGAAAAAAAAAAAAAAAATTGCTTGTTCACAAGAAGATTCTCAGATTAACAGAATACTGCAACAAGCATCGTAGATCTGTTAGCATCTATCAACAGCTTAAGATATCTTATGTTAGTCCTAGAGTTTGAAGGATCAAAAAAATATTCCTTTATGTCTTCAGCTTTTGGCGCGCTTTTCAAACGCTACATTTTCTGTACGAAAGAGAAACCAGAATCGACTTAGTTAGGTGATCTAAAAAAGAATGATCTCAAATACTGTCCTTTTTCCTTGTACACTTATCAAGTTTCGGCGCGCTTTTCAAATGCTAGGAACTAAGCATGGTAACTTGGTTCATCCAGAAGAAACCGTACAGAGAGCCTATAGTTGTCGAGCAAGCAGGCTTATCCTGCAAACGAAGAACAGTCAACGACGCGAGACTTTGCCAAGGATGCCAGGAATGTGGGACAAGGAAAATCTTACGCCTTGGCTTCGATGCGTTTTATCATGTCGTCTAGCGTTTCGCTGATGAAAATATCAGGTATCAAACACGCTCTGCAACCAGTCCAATCAACGTTGCTGAACTTTATCTCACTCTCGTTTCTGCATCTGTTCTATCGCGGATAGAAAGAAAACACAGA